TGTATATATATATATATATATATATAAAAAAAATGTATATATATTAGTTGTCTCTTCAGTAGGTGGTCTGGCCCAAGCCAAGCAGCGCTAGGTACTGACTGAAAGGGAAAAACAATACACACCTGTTCCTGCTTGCCCCTTTTTGTAAAAGACTGTCAGGAGTGTACTTCTGACTTCTCCAATGTGCCCACATCCGAGCAATGTGGACAAAGTATGTGCGTGACGTAGGAGAGCTCCTACGGCGTCCCTCACGGGGGGACAGTCCCTATGAGGATTTAATCTTAGAAGCCTTCTCTTCCTTTAAGGAAAAACTGGAGTAGTGCTAACTGCAGAAATTTAAAGAGTCTGGAAAGTTGTGAAGAAATGAGAACTTCTAAAGCACAAACAAACTGCGTGGTGAAGAAACAACAGTTCAGGGCTGTCCTAATATCAGGCTTCAGCTTAATCTTCTGTCCTGGTTGAAAAGTCCAAATTGACTTCTGCAGGTTTATATTTCATGCTAGTTAAATTTAGTTATGTCTCATAGAGAAGGCAAAGATGGAGGCTAGATCTTGGTTTCTAGGTAATCTCTTGTAAGGAGGCTTGTCAGGGGCTTACGCAAACAGGTGCCATTTAGGAAAGGAGAGAGAAAAGCTGTTGTGTAAAACCAGAGGGAGCTTTTACGAGACCAGCCCTGAATGACCAGAGTACAAAAAATGTAAGATGGCAAGAAGACATTGGGAAGAAAAAACTACAAATGGAAGCAAGCTGGATGGCACAGAGAGGAAATATGTTTTTATCTTTGGCACAGAGCCACACAGGAGCTTAAAGGGCATTTGATTGAGGCATTTGACTAAAATGCAAAAACCAGAGCAGGATCTAGGACAGGCATCTGAGCAAGGCGTCAGTTTATGAGCATATGAAGAGAGCGCTGGAGAGAGGAAGATGATTTTATGCATTTTTTTTTTCAGTTGAGGTCTTTTGACAGTATGAGTGAAAAGGAGAGGGAACTGCATTCAAAGCAGTAGTTAATGAAGGCAGGATGAGCAGCTGGGTATAAAAAAAGAGAGAAAAATTATTTGCCTTTTGTGAGTCCCTTATAAATTGTTGCATGTAAAGGCAGGTAAGAGCCATATTACCAGTTGCATACATTACTGGAAGATGGAAATCTATCTTTTTCTTTGAGATTCTTTATTTCAGATGTCATTCCTCCTGTTTCTTGTCATTTCAAAAATGAATCAGGTTGTATTTTGCACAATAACATACCCCTAAAGCCGAAGAAATACGTATATGTGTATTTCCACCTCCCTCAAGTTAAATAGCAGATAATAATTCAGCTAATTTAAAGCATCTAATTAAACATAAGTATTGAAACAGGAGACAGACCTTTGTGCATTATAAGGGAGCAGACTATTTCCATCATCCTTTTGGTCTGGAGACTTCATGTATCCAAGGAATAAAGTGAAGTGTTTATGTAGGGTAAATTATCGTGTTGGCAAGAGGAGCATTTTGAGAGCTCTTACTGAGTGCTGAATGGCACATACAAATCTGAAAAGCTGCTACATAAAATAATCCCCAATAAAATACTTGCCCAGTAGGCTTTGTATATGGATTATTTGCTCTGTATCAGCTAAACAAGAGGATTTACTATGGCATTCTGCCAAAACTAGAGAAGCCCTACTGTTCTCTGGCACTGCTCTAAGGTTTGTACCATAAATACATCTGTGCAGGGCTAGCCCTTAGTCTGATCAATCCTGCCTAACGCAGTCCTGGAACAGCATCACAGACTTGTACTGGATCTCTGCTGAGTTCATCTTCCAGAGTCACAGAAGAGCACTAAACAGCAGAGCGCTCATTTTTCTCTCGCTATAAGGAGCCTCTTCTAGAAAACCCCTTTGCCAGATAATGATGTCATTTTAGTTTATCTTGGTGCCCTTTGCCTTCCTTTCTCTGAATTTATCTCGACTTTCTTCTCACAGCAGTTCCCATGGCATTAGTCTGCTGGAAATTCAGCCGCGGCTCATAATTATCTTTGAAAAACATACGTGTGCAAATAGCTGCCAGGAGTATCTTGTTTGTTTGTTTTTATTATAAAGCTCGTAAGAGGGACCAGCACTGTCAGTACCACAGAATGATGGTTTTGAGGAAGGCCTCCCTGGAGATAAGCAAAATTTTCCATGGGTTTGTGGAATGAAACAAAGGGCGCCGGCTGCCTTGTGTTTATCATTACAGACACTTTGACTAACAGCTCTTCTTTTGCTAAGAAGTCTTACTCAAGGTACTATATTCATCCTTTGTTTGGATTTTGGAACAGTATTAAATACACACATTTTTTTCGTCTATTTCATCCATGGCAAGAGCAAAGGTGTGGTTTCTCAGCTGGAATGAAGGGATATAATCACACCACGGGAGAAGCTAGCTGCTAACCTGCAGGTCTGCCATGTGCATTGCAACAGACCCACTGTTAACACTCAGGTGGGGCTGCTCTCAAATCTGTTCTCTAACAAAGTCAGTAACACAAAACACAGGAACGTGCATGTTTTAAGTGTCTGGGAACTCTGGCATCCAGGTGTTGCTGGTGATATTAGAGATTCCCTGATCAGCAACAAGACTGCTTCTGGCAGAAATGACTCGTGCTCAAGGGAGAGACAGTCAGAGAGCAGGGGTTAAATCATTTATCCAGAAAAATATAGTGGCTTCAGCGATGGAACTGGGTTGGAAAGTTGCCTTTCACTGCATTCACTCATTCATGTGACACCTGGGACAATGACAAGAGGGTAAACTGTTCTTTAAAAAAGGAGGCTGACAAGCTCCAAAGCTGCATTTTATACAGATAGAGAAGACAGAAATGTAATATTACCCTTATTAAAAACATTTGATTTATTTCTGAATCATTGTGCCCAGGTTCTGACCATTTCTACACATAGAAATAGAGGTTTGGGTGCCAGGAAAGGTAACGGAATGAACTAGCGAGGCTCACACCCACCTCACAGTTACAAACGTGTTTGCTGTCTGTTCCCCAGGTAAAGCCCAGAGCTCGGAGATGGTCCCCAGGTCCCTGCGGCAGCAGCGTTCCCTGGTGAGTACTGGTCTCGGTGCTTCCGTTACAGTGACACTTTCAATTGAAATGGTAATGATTGCAGCTGGTATTGAATTATCAGTGCAGCCTTCATGTTTTACTCATCAGTGTACTCATGATGGAGTGAATCCTGACAACTTTTTAGGCAGATCACTTCAGATTTATTGGTAGTCAGTAAAGCAGACACGGAAACCTCAGATCGGG